AAAGTTCAAAAAGTTGAGTAATAAGAATCTCTAACAAAATGACTATCAAATGCCACTATCAGAATTTTTAACACTTTGATTAACATCTTGTATAATCCACTCCCCTGCTAAAGATAGGTCACCAATGGGAAGGACAGAGGTGACTGTGGGCTTAGGTTTGGTCATTAATCTACACAGAGATAATTTGGAGTCTTTTATAAACTATACACAACAAATTTGAAGTTTATCAGAAAAAAATAATTACGAATAGCTATAATTATTATTTAAAGTTTTATATTGAAATAATTATACCCCCTTAGCAAGACCACCTAACTTCTGGACTACAAGCATCAGGGACTGAGAGTTAGCAAATCCCAACAATCTAATTGTTATAGGGTGAGGTAATCTCAGCCCTACAGTTAATGCTGGTACCACCTTAGCAGTGACAAACCCCTCCTAGCTGTTCTTTACACCAAACCATCCCTGGGGGATATATACACTCTCATTATTAATAGTAACTTTGGCATTAAAACTTCTAGGGGAACATATCAAAACTGTGTACAGGGACATAGGTAACCTGATGTATCTCTGCTCAGCCTCCCACTAAGCCATCTCAAATCACCCTTATCCATTACAAGTTACTTATCTACCTATTTCTGGCTTGCCATAACTGGTGGGAAATTATAGGTGATCAAGAATCCTTCCTTGTTTCCGAGGTCTGTTCTGATGGCTAAGTAGCCAGTGGCCACTCTCATCCGTAGATGGGGACAGTCTAAGAGCTGACACTTAATGCTCCTCTCGTCCACACACTTCACACGCATGCATATGACCCGAATATTCTGCCGTTTGAGGGCTACCACCTGGAGTTGAGAGAAGCCACAAAAACCTATGGATTTTAATATATAAGATAATGTATCTTCATTGTAGAAAATTTAGAAATACAGACAATGAAAGAGACAGCTATTAAACTCACTCATACTTCCATCATTCAGACAATTGTACTATTATTTCAATGTCCATTAGCCAGAGTATTTTCTATGGATGTGCTCCCATGTACATAAGTATGTGATTTTAAAGGAATAGTAACTGTAACCTGTTTTTATTTTTTTTTAAATTGTGATGTTTTCATGCCATTCAGTGTTCAAAGACCTTTGTAGTGTTGCTTGGTATGTTTGGATAAATAGTAACTTGTTTTGTAAATTACTTATTTGGGGGCCATTATCATATTGACAATTACTCACCATGATAAACAGTGTTGCAATGAGTATCCTTGCTTCTAAGTCAATAATTTGGTTAGTATTACAGTTTAGAGAGATTAAGACCTAATACTCTACTCAGAATCAGACAATAACTTGGCAGGATTTCTCCCAAGAAACCTGAGTGATTGTGGGAAGCATCCCTCAGCTTACTGTGTGCTACCATCACAACACAGAAGTGAAGGAGAAAAAGCAGTCTCCATTGCTCCCGCCTTCTTTGTGAGGAAACAGAGATCAAGCCCTGGAGGAGGTTCTTGCTTCTTTGCTTTCTCTTCATACAAAACATCCTGAAGAGCAGCTTCGAGTTCCTGCCTCCTGGGACTCTTGCAAGACCCCCTCGGGCCAGCTGCTGAGAGTCTCTTCTCCAAAGGCTGAATGAGGAGGCCCTCATGCTGCTGTACGAGGTGCTCCGTACTACAGGTATGTGGGGAGCGGGACAACAGGAATGAGACAGGGAAGCAAGAGGATGGAGACCCAGCATGGGAGCATCCCTGGGGCCGTCGCGCAGCTCAAGCCTCCGGCCAATGCCTAGCAGCCAGTCTGGGTCTCCACAGCCAGTCCAGTCTCCGGAGATCTTTGGGAACACCCCAGTATCTGGAGATCTTTGGGAACACCCTAGTTTCCAAGAGTCTGTAGAAGTGGTGCATCTCAATTTCTATCAGGGAAAATGAGAGTCCCTCTTAGTCATAAATTTCTCTTCTGATCGTATGGGAAAGTTTGTAAATGATGTAATTGGGATTTTTTTTTTTTTCAGCACTAAACCCTCCTTTCCTCCTTTGTGCATGTAAAGTACAAGACTGGGATGCAGAACAGTGGGGAAGATGCAGCCTGTGGGGAGACGTGGAGAGCAGGAGGCCAGAGCAGGACAGAGAGGAGAGGAGGGTGGAGGGGGCAGAGGCCTGGGCATCACGGAGCAGCAGAGCCATGCTCAGGCTGGGGCACAGGCCCCTGGGCCCCTGGGTCCCTGGGCCCCGCACTTGCTGTTCTGGGCAGTGAGCACTTGGGTAGTTTCCCTGCTGCTCCATCTCGTGGGTTCTGAGAAATGCTGTCCTTCTGGCCAGTTCAGGAGACACACAGATTCTGCCCCAGACACCCGAGGTTGAGGCTTGCTCCCCGTGCAGGTCCCAGGCCACTGCTGGCATGTGGCATCTGTGCAGTGGACAGATGCCAATCAGCTGTCTGAAGCTCTCTGATTCTTGACCCTTTCTATCAGGTACTCATCACTGGTGCTCTCTGGCCTGGTTCTAGCTCACACACCTCTTTGTTTCACTAGTTATTTGGGGTTTTTTTCCCCCATTAAAAACTTTCCATTTGTGGACAAGACGGCTTCAGGCTCTTCCTCCTAATCTGTACCTTGGAAATACATGAACAAGAGGAAGGTTGGTGCCTATCAAAACCTTACATGAAATATCCTAAATATGGGACACACAGATGCAGGGAAGCAGAAGCTGCTTGGGGAGGAAAAAGTAGACTGGAGGGTGGAGTGCTCTCTGGATGAGACCTTTGCTCCCCAACATTGTTCCGAAGGGATCCCTGCCCGACCCCATGGGTCCCTTGTCCCGCCAGCAGGGTCTGGGCCCCAGGGGAGCCCAGCCGTCTTGGGCCACAGATTTAACAGCAGGTGCAGGTGAGTTGCTGGGCCCCTGAGAACTCCTGTCTCCCAACTCCACCCACAGTGCCAGGACTGTGACCATCACTGAGAGTGGCAGAGACGTCTTGGGACAGAACAGTGACTAGGGCAGAAGCACAGAGACATGCACCGTGGGTGGGTGAGCAGGGAAGGACATGGTGGGCTCCCTCCCCTCCACGCCCCCTGAACACATCTGTGCACAGTTCAAGAATAGCCAAGTCAAGACCATAAACGTGGAAATTATAAAATCAGAATAAGTAACTGGCAGGTGGATGAATTTACACATAGAATAATACTGAGGAACAAGAGAGTAACCTGGAAGATCAGAAAAACTCCCCTGGAAATACCAAAATGGGGTAGAGAAACGGAAAGTCAAGGGAAACAGTCTGGGTGCTAGTTGCTCAGGTGTCCCTGTGTGTAACATCCATGCTACAGGCACAGATAAAAGAGAAGAAAATCTGGGGGAAAATAACCAAGGATCTTACATGAGCAGAGAAAAGAAAGATTTCACATTAAAAGTGTCACAATTTGCTGAGCTGAATGGATCGTGAGAGCCAAACATCACAGCAGATGAGTGTCAGAGACCAAGGGACAATTCCGAAATATTCAAGAGGGTAAAACATTGTAAGTCACAGCAATTAGATTGACTTCCTACTTCCTCACAATAACAATAAACATGAGAAGTCAATGGAAAATAGTATTTTCAAAGTGGAACCTCTAATTTCATGTCTAGCTGCCCTTTCCTTTAATTCTGAGGATGAATATGATCGTCTCTGGTGTAACAGGCCTCCGTATTTTATACACACGCACACACCACACACCACACGTGCATACCATACACACACACACACCAC